CTTCCTAGGGAAGTCAGATGTAAACTGAGCCTTAAGCGTGGTCTCTGAGGCCCTCCAAGAGCTACCCTGTCACCTCCCTGCCCCATTTCCTTTCACACACACCCTTACTCACTCTGACTCAACCTTACTTGTCTCCCAGCACCTTCTCCAACATATCGCACATGTTTCCACCCTCAGGACCTTTGCACTGGCTGTGCCCTCTGCCTGGAACCTTCTTTCCCCAGACACACACAAAGCTCACTCTCTCTCACTGCAGTCTCTTTTCTGCTTAAATGTCACCGCCTCAGAAAGTCCTGCTCTGACCTCAGAGTTCCTCTTCACCCATTTTTTTTCCTTCTTCACAGATCACATCACTCATCCAAAATTATCTCCAAGTGGTTAAAGCATTTGGCTGCTAACCAAAAGCCCACCGGCTGCTCTACGGAAGAAAGGTGTGGCAGCCTGCCTCTGTAAAGATTTACAGCTTGGGAACCTCTCTGAGCAGTCCTACTTTGCTCTGTGGAGTCGATTTTAGCTAGACATTGACCCTAAGGCAGCAAGTTAACTATTTCTACCTCCTTTGCTAGTCTGAGCACTCCAGTGTGGCAGCACCCAGGAGGGAGAGAGGTGGGTAGTGGTGTCTGTGCCATCCTGAACAGTGGCCCCCAAAGAAGCCCCACCAATATCTGTGAAATGGATGGCTCTGTTACAAATAAGGACACTGAGGCTCAAGACACCAGTGCAGACGCAAGAAGGGTCCCAGCAAGAAAAGGGCAAAGGCTGGATTTGAACGCTTACTTAATATGGAGAAGTGTGGGCTCAACTGCCCTACAAAACTCTGGTCCTGACAGTCTGCCCTTTCCTGCAACTCTGATAAGGCTGTGAGTTGATCTGTTTCTGGGGGGCTGGGGGGGGTCGGGAGTGGTAGTAAAATGAGGCGCCTTGCCTGCCAGGGGTTTGGATTTGCAGTATGAGGGACTACCCCTTTCTCTCTGCTGATGTAACTTGAGGAAGTGCGTCCTTAAAACCCCAGCTCTGGATGCCCGGCCCCAACCTAGCCATACCACAACCGGGGTATGTGTGTGTGTATGTTTTCTTTTTACACTCAGTTCTACTGAGGAGGAAACTGGAGTCAGCAGCCATGACCACAATCTGAATCTTACACACTGATCTAGGGTCCAGGAGCGCTGGTTCTTAAGCCTGATTCAGGCCTTCCTTGCTGTGTGACCACGGGGGCATGTCATTTCACCTCAGTGCCCACTCACGTGCTACAATAGGATAAAACTGTTCCATCGGCTTTTCTTGGTTGTAATCTTAAGGGAAAGCCAGAGCCAGGTCTTTTCTTCCGCAGGGCTGCTGGGATCTTTGGGAAAGCAGTCCAACGCAAACTGAGAGACCTGAGATAGTAAAAGTTACATCTCTCCGATTGGTGATGGGAGGCGGGGCATGGGCGCAAGCCAGGGCGCGCAGACAGGACAGAGGAAGCCCCAGCCTGGGAACATTTTAGTCAAGTTCTTCTCTCCATCCGCCAGGCGGCCCTCTCCGCAGCACTTGGCTTGAAGGAGTTGGAGAAGGATGGGGCTATCTTACTAGTTGGTCCCAAGTGGGAGAAAGCGAGGACCCCTCCCGGAGCCTGCGGTCAGTCGGCCTGGCGCCCGCTCTCCAGAACGCTCAATAACCATGAAATAATAATACGGGGCGCCGCGGCACTTGCTCTGCTCCGAAACCAGCGTCCCGGAGGCCCGGCCTCGGAGGAGCGCACAGCACATCCAGGCTGCGCCCTGCTCGGCGTCCAGGAGAGCGCGCGCGCAGGCAGGGGCGCAGGGACCGACGCACTAGCTCCCCACACAGATCTAGCGATAAGAGAGCGCCAGCGACCCCGCGGAGGCGAGGACCCAAGTGGAGACAGCGTCCACAGGGCCAAAAAGAGCCCAGCCCACCTGCCTCCACCCCTTTCTGGGGTCCCAGCCTTTCCGTGGGGAGTGTTTGGGAAATGCAGCCCTGACGGGGTATATACTCAGCCCTCTAAAACAGGCAGCTCCCCCACCAACCATCACTCTCTTCCTCACGCTCCATCTGCCTCTCGACGGAGCGTGGCAGGGCCGTGACTCAGCCCCGCAGGGCGCCGAGAGCTTCGGCTTCTCCATCTGCAGGTCTGGAGGGGGTGCGTGGAGGCCATCTCTGATGGGGACAATGTCCTCTTCTCTAGGGGTTCTTGTGACTCAATTCTGAGAGTCCTCTGAAGGGTCCCGGCCCCCCCCCCCGCCGTGACCTCAGTTGGTGGGCACTTCAAGCCCTCAATCCCATCCCAACCCCTTCCTGCACTACTGGAACCTCCTTTGTCAAGAAGTGGCCTGGCCCAACAAGAAGGGGGGAGTTCCCAGTGGGGGCCTCTCAGTTCCCCCTTCCTCTTTGGCCACTGTCCGCCCCTCAGGCCACAGCCCGCCCACCCACGGCATTGGCGGCATTGGCGCAGCTGCAGAAGCAGCCGAGGCAGAAACTGGAGTGCCTGCCTGGAGGCAGCAGCTGGAGTTCCTGTTTTCTCTCTCCACCTAGCAGGAGGAGCAGAGTTCAGGCAAAGCCCCTGCTCTCCTCTGAGCAACAATCCACTCCGTGAAACCTTTTCCAGCCTTCTCTGATGGCAACGAACTTTCCATCTAACCCTTACAGGACAGTACCAAACAACAGCCCCACTTCACAGATGGGAAAACCGAGGCTCAGAGAACCTGAGGCACTTGCACAAGGATTTACACTGGCGGCAGCTGAGACCGACACTGTGATCCCAGTGGTCATTGCCCAGTTGATTGAGCTGGGGGGGGGGGCGCCTCAGTTTCCCCAGGGGACGAGGGGACTATTTCACTAGGTAGTGAAGATGAGGACATGTGAAAAAACCTGGTGCCCCAGAGAGAGCCATTCAAAGACAGATGTCACTAAAATGAACTCTGACTACTACTCAGTCACGGTCCCTTTAGAGCTGACATCCCAGGAGGCCAAGATAGAGGGAGTGTCCCAGGCCTTATAAAGGAGTGGGGTCCAGTTTCTACAGCACCCCACCCCTGCCCAGCCCTCATCTCCAGGACAGTGGCCTGCGTCAGTTTAGCCTGCTGACCCTGGTCTTGGCATTTCCTGTTGATTCCAGCTTTGTTTTTCTTCAGCTTCTCTAAAGCTCCCCATGGGAAACATCAGGATGTACTGTGCTGAACCCACGAAACTCACTTCCTTGGTGGGGACAGGGGCTCTCGGGGGTGAAGAGTGCCCAGAATGGAAGTGGGTGGTTTGGGAGGCCAGCAGTGCCTGCCAGAAGGGCCCCAAGAGACCAAAGGATAGTAGGGTCACATTCAGGAACTCCAAGGGTGGGAGAACCCCCCTCCCCATCTGACTGCCTAAGTCTTGTCCTAAGAAGAGGGATGTCACTCCTCAGAGCAATCAACTGTACAAGAACAAAAAGATGGCAACTGCACTGGAATAGCGTTTAGAAGGCAGAAAGGGGAGAGGGGAAGGAGGAATGGAAATGAGAAACACAGAGGTGAAGTGGGACGAGTGAGGATCACAATGTCAGGAAACACAGTACTGTATGTGTGAATTTTGAAGGGAAACCCAATTTGCCCTCTAAACTTGCCACTCAAATCACAAAACTGTTATTGTTTTTTTACACTTGATCTTAGCCAAAAGGCCGAGAAGCGATTGTTATTGCTTTTTAAAAAACAGAAGAACAAGACGGGTCCCCATGGCTGTACGTCAGAGCACACAGTCAAAGCCATCAAACCCACACCACCAGTCAGGCCCCAGAGCACCACGGGAGCAGATACAGTAACTTGGAACACAGGCAGCCCATGTGCATGGGGAAGCCATGAAGACTCCCTCCAGACCAGAGCCGCAGCCTGGACATGGGGCACATGTGGGGCCTGAGAACAGGGCCACAGTGTCCCAGAGGGTACAGGCAATCCCATAGCCACACACTGTCCCTGGGAGTGTACACATCATAGTCTCACCATCACTGCATCCCAGGAGCACACACAATCATTTCTACCGTTAAGGAGCACACTGGGGCAGCTGCCACAATCACAGGGTCCCCTGGAGCACAGCCATCCTGTCACAGTAAGACGATCCTTGGAACACATGCAATGGCCCTGTCACAACCACACTACCCCTGTCACAATCACAGGGTCCCAAGATTACACACAGTCACCCTGTTCACACAGTCAAACTGTCCCAGAAGCACAGTGTCACTTGTCAAAGTCATACTGTCTCTGGAGAATGCATTCCTGCTGTCACAATCAGTGTCATTTTCAAGGCAACAGGACTTCAGAAACACTGAGTACCCAGTCATGTCAACTACATCATTGCACCCACAGAGCACTGAAGGCGGGGGTCAGGACTGAGATGGGTCAGAGGACTTACATCAAGGCCTCCCAGCTGCCCCCCAACTACTCCCTCAACACACAGACCCCCAACAAGTTCAGCCCAAGAAGCCCCCTCGGGTTTCTGACTCCAGAAGCTGCAGGGTGAATCCCAGAATGCTCCCAACCCCACAGGTCCTGCGTTCCAAGGAAGGCTCTGAGACCTCCCCCCTCCCCCCATAGCCTGAAGCAGAAATTAGGGTCCTAGCAGGCGCCCCCAAGACACCTCCAAGCACAGTGAATGGAGCCCTGGGTAAGGTACTCTCAAATCCTTGCCAGAGCTACCCAGCTTGTGCGCCACTCTGCATGTTATTTGCCAACTGAGTCCCTAGACCCCTCAAACTGAGGAGTCCTCCCCACCCCCAGCCAGACCCTGTTGATAGCACAGGTAATATGGCGCCCCCTACAGTCCACTCCCGGCCAGGATTCATCCCCAGCCGCCCGCACAGCGCACCACCGGGAACTCCATTCCAGACGCCTCCGCAGCAGACCGACCCCTCACCCCAAATACCAGGCAAGGGACCCCATCCGCGTCACAGCGCCCCCTGCGCCCAGCGAGGCGAGCTGCGTCCTCTCCGCGCGCTTCTCCGCTCCGCGCGCGTCCGCCGCCCCGGCTCTTACCGCCTGCAGCTGCCTCCACCCGCGCCGCCGCCGCTGCTGCTGCCGTGGAAGGACGAGGGCCAGGACATGCGAGACGTGCGCAGGCCGGGCCGGTCGCTGGTGTCCACGGCGTCCGCTCGCTCGATGGGCCGGTGCGGCGGCCGTTCGGGCTCCGCGCGCTCTGCGCTGTCCGAGTAGCCGCGCTGCTGGATCCGTATAGGGGTCCGCGGCTGCCGCCACAGGTGCTGGGGGGGCGGCTTCAGGGTGGCCTGGCCCTCCCGGGGCCCGGGCAGGGACAGAGACAGGCTCCTCTCCGAAGGGGCGGCCGGAGGCTCCATGGCGCCGGCCCCCACCTGCGCCCCGGGGGCTCCTCCGGCCTCTCCAAGCGGCACCCCACTCAACGGCTCGTGAACCGACGCGTTTGGCGCCCCGCGGGTGCGCCCGGCCTCGGTGGGGCCATGGCGTCCCGGGGACAGACCCGGGGGCGCTGAGGGCCGATCGCCCCCGGGCCGGGCGCCGCGGCTTCCTGTCGGCACCCGGCGCTCAGCTCAGTGCCCGGCTGCGCTCTCCGCGCTCGGCGCCCGGCTCGGCGCCAACCCCGGCTCCCCCGCCCCGTCACGCCCTTCCCCGCCCCCCGCCCGCCGCGGCTGTCAGCGCCGCCCCCCTCCTCCCCTGTCCGGGCCTGTGGGGGGCAGCCACCCAAGGAGGGGGGCCCTTCCCTCCCACGCAGAACCCCGCTCCCGGCGGGGAGGGGGCGCCGGAACTCTGCTCTCTCCAGAGCGCCCTGCCTCGCCGCGGCGCACGGACACCAAGGAGTTAAGCGGTTAATCCGATCGGAAAGGAGACAGGCGACTGGTTGCTGGTCTGTCAGTCAGTCCGTCCATCATGGCGGGGGCGGAGCCCAGGGTTGGAGTGTCCTCGCCGCTACCCCAGGTCGGTGGAGGCTTGGATCGAGAGGGTCATGGCGCCACGGGGCACCGTGCCTGCGGCCGGCAGCAGCAGCGCGCACGGAACCTCCAGCCTGTGTTCCGAGGATGGCAATGGTGTGTGTCCGGGGCGGGGTGCGCACGCACGTGGCCCCTTCCGAGGCTTGTCTGTGTTTTCGGTGTTGGCTGGGAAGTGTGTGTGTGCACGTGGTTGGCTGCTGCGGGCTGCCTGCTTCTCTGGATTTCGCGGTTTTGTGTATCTCTGTGTGTGTCTGTGGGTGAAGGGTGTGTGCGTGCACGTGTACTGCCTGCCTGGGGGATGTGTCTCTGTGGGGGTCTGTTTCCCTTGGCCGAGGTGGGGTTAAGTGTGTGTGTTCCCACGCATTGAGTGTGCGGTGGTTTGCAGTCGGCGACGTGCACGCAAGTCAACCTCGGTCAAAAGCCAGTGAGGTCTGAGTATGTGAGTGTGTGTGTGTGTGTGTGTGTGTGTGTGTGTGAGAGAGAGAGAGAGAGAAGGGAAGAGGAGAGGGAGGGAGAACTGGACCTGTCTTGGGGTGTTTCTGGGGTGTGTCCCTTTGGTTTCCGTGAAGCTCGAGGAAGACATCGTGGCCACGGATCGTCGCCCGCCCACCGCTCTGTTATTTACCACTGTCTCTTTTTAAGTGCTTCGGCTCCTGGTAAACTGAGGCAGCTCCGCGGCAGCCCTGGGGCACACCTCCGTGCCCTTTTTAGGCGAGTAAACAGCCGCGCCTCCTCCCCGCGGCCCCCGCCAGCAGAGCCCCCCTTCCGGCACCTAAATCGGGAGTTGCCGTGACTCACGCTCCCGCCTCCCCCAGCGCCGCGCCGAGCGAGCGAGCAGCTCGAGAGCGGGATCCGAGCGCCTCCTTCCCCAACCCCCCAGCCCCGCTGGCGGTTGTGGGGTGGGGGGAAGGGGAAGTGCGCGTGCCCTGGTGCCCTTCCCCCACGGCCGATCGGTGGTCTCTTAACCGGCTCGGGTATCTAGGGTACCAAGCCCACGCCCCCGAGCGCTCCTTCCCGCGGGGGTCCCCCCCAGGCAGGTCGCGCTGTCTGCCACCGCCCCTCTCCCAGTTGCTGTTCTCTTAACAAAAACTGCCCGTCTCCAACCCCCTCAGCCGCTTTTCTCTCCACCGGAGGGGGCTCCGGGCGTAGGCGCGCGCGGAGCAAAACCCAGCACAGCCCCCCCACCAGCAGCCGTTGGGTGTCGCAGAGGCCAGAATTTGTGCCCCCACTTCTCGCCGGGTCCTCTTTTAAGTACACACTCCAAAGGACTCCTGGGAGGATTAGCAAAGGCTGAGGACCTCCCCCCAGATAATTTGAGGGTCCACGGAGAGCCACATCTTGGGGTGGGGGCGGTTTGTAACGGCTGGTCGCACCTCTGCAGGGGGGGGGATGGGATAGCCCTGGATGAGGTGGGGGGGGAGAGAGTCAGCCACAGCTGGGGTGTCAGAAGAAGAAGGAGGTGAAGGAGGCAGTGAGCCAGGGCTGGAGGTGGGGGCTGTGGCCTGAGGCCAGGAAGGTCAGGTGGGATGTGAAAGAGGTAAATAAAGGCTAGGGCCTGGGGCAAGATGACACCCACCCACCCCCCATCTGGAAATAATCTTCTGTACCCGGACCCAAGCAGAGACTCAGAGTAATAAAGCAGTTGGCAGGGGCAGAGCCTGGGGGCAGCGGTGGTAGGGCCAGGCCAGCAGCCAGCACCAGCACAGCGGTCTGTCTTGGCGACTCATCCTGGGTCAAGAAGAGAAAGGGGTGCCCTCAAAGGACCCCAGATGAGAAATAGCCAAAAAAGTGCAGGCTAAAGATGGGTTCACAGACCCTCCCAGGTCACCCCCATAGAAAAATGTTTTCCAGACTTCTCCAGGGTCCCACGTGCCCCTCTGAAATGTGGACGAAACCGGAACCCCACTTTCCCCGCAGAGAGGAGCAGGTGTGCGTGCGCTGGAACAATGGCCCCCCACCTGTACCCGCTATGAGTGGGGGGAGATCACAGGGGACAGCAGGCCTGAAGCCTCTCTCCTCAACCCTGCCCCATGCTGACTCAGGCTTCTGCAGAATGGAAGAAGGGGCTCCCAGAGGCCGCAAGAGGCGCCTTGGGGGAGGGGTGCCACTGGCCGACGGGAGAAGTTTCAGCTGCTTTTGCAAAATCGCTGGGAGCCTGGAGCTCCGGCTGCAAGGGCTGGTGCCTGGACCGAGTCCAACTGGCCCTGTTCCTCCTCCCTTTGTCCCCCCACCCCAGACCCAGCCTGGGTCCCCGCGCGCCTACCTGTCGGCCTCGGCCCGGGTGATGGAAATGCGCGGCGGGATCAGCAGCGGCAGCGTGGTGGGCCTTGGCGGCAGGGAGACCCCAGGGTCCGAGGACTCAGCCGGGACCCAGCCCAGGCCAGGGCCGGAAGAAAGGCGGCGGCGAGGGCGGCGGAGGTCAGCGCCCAGCATGTTGGAGCGGCTGGGTTCGGGGGTCTCCCGCAGCCTCTGAGGAGGAACAAGGATGGGATGGGGGCAAGGCCTGACCAGACAGCTCTGAGACACCCGCTTCCCGGAGAACGACCCCACCCAGCCATCTGAGGGCATGGTCAACAGGAAGATAGGCCCTCAGTGCCCCCTTCGGGGGTCATGTTTCTTACTGACCCAGCCTAACAAGGATCTCCCTCCACCCCTTGTGACTGGGAAGTCCCTTCTCTGCCATAATTTTTGTAGGGAGCTTTCTGGGTTTCCACATCAGTGCTCTCAGCTTGAGGTCCCCACTAATGTCTCACTCAGCCTTGAGGTCTGTGATCGCTCTCGCCCACCTCCCATCACCTCTCCCCATTTGGGAATTCTCATGGAAGACCCTGCCTTCCAGAGCTGCTAAATCTCGGCAGCAGGAGAATATCACAGATGTAAACTGAGGCACAGGGCCGCGTGACAGCCCCCTCCCTGGCTGCTTGGACAAAGTGAGGCCACACGCAGGAAATAGCTGCAGACACTAGAGGGCGAAAGTCTTCCCAGGGACCAAGCCCGGCTGTTCGCACCTCCTCCCCAGTCCAGGCCACTGACAGGACACTGCGACTCCTCTTCATCCTGTCAACCTAGCGTGCGGTGGGGGATGCTGGGGTCATGGTGGCCGGGCCAGCACCTCCTGCAGGACCAAACCGAAGGCATCCACCATTAGTACCCTGCCAGTGGTACCCCTGAGGCTGGGGTCACCCTCCTCAAGGGCTTCCTCCCACACTAGACTAGACAAAATCCTTAGCAATGTTTATTATTCATTTTAATTGTAGACTCTTAAGTATCGTTGCAAATTGCTTAAATGTAATATATTGTTTACAACAGTTGTAAACAATAACAGGAGTCAAAAACTCCTTGGAGGCCGAGATAACGGAGCTTCGTCTCACATACTTTGGGCATGTTGCTAGGAGAGGTTATTCCTTGGAGAGGGACATCATACCTGGAAAGGTGGGGAAAAGGGAGACCCTCAACACGATGGCTGCACACAGAGACTGTAGCAGGGGGCTCGAGTGTGTCAAATTGTGAGGATGGCATGGGATAGGTCAGGGTTCAGGTCTGTTCATACTGAAGCTCTCACTATACTGTTCTAAGATTTTTCTACACTGACGCACTCATTGCCCTCAAGGCTTCCCCACCACTGGATTTGGAAGGCTGGAAATGACTCAGGATACTGTCTATCTTTCTCTCTCAGGGCTGGTTGGTGGGTTCAAACCTCCAGAGAGGTACGGCCTTGGACGCAACTCTCAGCAAACCACACCATCAGAGTGCCCTACAAATACAGTCGTTGGTAACTGAACAGAAATTTTTTTTTCATTTTTCTACTTTTCCTTTAATTCCTACTTCATTCTAAAAAAAACAAAAAAAGTTGTTAGTATAGGTTGACAAAGACTAATTGCATTATTATAGTGAAAACACCAGAAAATGTGGAAAATCCGCCAACATAAAAAACTGGCAGGAGGAAAATCAGTGCCTGCTTCTAGCACAGGCAGACGAAACCACGTGACTGTAATTGCGTCCCAATGACGGCTCTGACCAAAGCATATTGGCCCAATGCCATGAGCGGATTCCAGTTCATAGTGACCACTGGATTTCCGAGGCTGTTAAATCATTATGGGAAGAGATTTAAATGGCCCAGCTTTCTCCTTCAAAGCGGCTGGTGGATTTGAAACACTGACCTTATGATTGGCAGCTGGATACTTTATAAAAACTAAGGGGTCTGGAGCACATTTAAGAGATTCAGAAATTATACAAAAAGCTGCACTGCAATCCAAGAGGTACATTGTTCAAACCCACCAGATGCTCTACTGAAGAAGGAGGGTAATATCTTCCTGTACCAGTCAGATCTGAGATCTGATTTGATGGTACATGCACAAAAAATAAGAGATTCCGAAATTCAATCAGTTTACTGGTTTAGCCCTGTAAGTATAGTGTGATACATGTAAGCTGGGTTAAAGGAAAATGTTGGTACAATACACTATTAGGATATTTTTATTTTTAAAAATTAGAGAT